GACCTGGACTTCAGAGCTAACAAGATTGCTTTCCACAATGTTCCATTGAACTTTTCAACTTGGCCATTTCCTGCTGGATTATATGGAGTTGTTTGACTGGTGGCTATTCCTCTTTCATGAAGGTAGTCTCTGAGTTCTTTTGAAAGAAAAGATGTCCCTCTGTCTGAATGAATGTAGTTTGGCATTCCAAATATTGAAAATAGATTTTCTAAACAGCGAACTACTGTGTTTGAGGACATATCACTGCATGGATATGCAAAAGGGAAGCGTGAATATTCATCGATTATTGTCAATAGATATCGATTTCGTGTGCAAGATGGCAAAGGACCCTTAAAATCTACATTAAGTCGCTCAAAAGGTTTTGTGGCCTTGATAAGGTGAGCATTTGTAGTTTTATAAAAACGAGGTTTAATCTCTGCACACATTGGGCATTTGTTTGTCATTGTTTTAACATCCTCAACCGAGTAAGGAAGGTTTTTACTTTTTACCCAGTGGTACATCCTAGTGATTCCAGGGTGGCAAAGTGACTGGTGAAGTGCAAAAAGCTTGTCATCACAATTTATGTTTGTGACAGCTCCACAAACGCGTGAAAATGCATCTGCGGTAACGTTTTCTTTACCTGGTCTGTACTGTATGTCAAAAGAATAAGGTGACAACTCAAGACGCCATCTAGTGATTTTCTCATTCTTTATTTTACTAGTATGCCGACTGTTGAACACAAACGACAAAGCCTGCTGATCGGTGATTAATAGAAAATGTCGCCCAATGAGGAAATGTCTCCACTTCTTTAGAGATTCGACTATGGCTAGGGCTTCCTTCTCAATAGACGAATGACGTTTTTCACAATCTGTCAATGTTTTTGAAAAGAAAGCGACAGGTCTACCCTTTTGACTTAACGTGGCAGCGATAGCGAAGTCTGATGCATCTGTTTCCACAACTAATGGAGAATTATCATCAATCACGGTGAGTATTGATTTTCCTATGTCTTGTTTAATTTCCTGAAAAGCCAAAGCTGGCAAAGATGAGGACAATATAGGAAAAGATTTGCAATCAATCAGAGGCCGAATCTTGTTTGAGAACTTAGGAACCCACTTTGAGTAGTGAGAAAATATTCCTAATGCACGTTTTAATTGAGATGCATTAACTGGCAATGGTAAATCTAACAAGGATTTCAGACGATCTGGATCTGCTTGCATAGACTGGTAGCGAATTTGATATCCTAAGATTGATATTATGTCTTGAGAAAATTTGCTCTTCTCATTGTTTAGAGTAATATTATATTTCTTAGCTACCTTTAAGAATTTATTCAGCCTTTCATCATGTTCTGACTGAGTTTTTCCGGCTACGGTTATGTCATCAATGAAAGCCCACACCCCTTCTAGTTTTTCAGTGGAAATAATCTTATCAATCGTGTGCTGAAAAGCAGACACACCATTTGTTATACCAAATGGAACCCTACAGAACTGATAAAGTTTTCCTGCTGCCTCAAATGCTGTGAAGCATTTTTCATGTTCCGATATTGGTATTTGATGGTAAGCCTCCTTTAAATCTATAGTACTGAATACTTTATTTTCTGCTATTTTACTAGCTATGTTTTCAATATTAGGCAAGGGGTAGGCATCTAATAGGGTAAACTTATTTATAGTTTGACTATAATCTATTACTAATCGCTTTTTATGAGTTGAGCTTTTGGTAACAAGCACTTGTGCACGCCAGGGAGATGAACTTTCTTCAATTATACCACTTTGAAGGAGTTTTTGCACTTCAGTGTTGATGAACTTTTCATCATCATTAGAATACCTACGAGACTTAGTTGCAATGGGCTTACAGTCAGGTGATAGATTATGAAAAAGGCGTGGTGGTTCTACAGAAGCACAGGCAACATTACAAATGGACAGAGGTAACTTATCTCCTCCAAAATCTAGGTTCACTGAAGAATGCAGTTTCATTAAATCATGACCAACCAATATGTCAGTGCACAGATTGTCAATAACAAACAGTTGTACTCTCTCATAGTTATGGTCAGAGAACTCTAAGTTCACAGAAACATAACCTTTGATAGGTGACTTAAGGTTAGTGGAAGCCATAGATACCTGTTTCCGTTCTGGAATTACATGAAAACCATTTTCAATTACCACAGCTCGGTTTATAAAACTATCGGTACTTCCAGTATCAACCAAAACTTCAACAGGAATTTTATTCGCATAACCCCGCACAACTGCTTTTGACAGTCCATTGGAGGCAGCTGCACATGAAAGTGTGGTTACTACCAAAGAAGAGGCATTAAAGGTCTTGCCTTGAGCTTTCATCAACCTGCATACCTTCACAAAATGTCCCCTTTTCTTACAACCAGAGCAAGTAGCATCTTTGGCAGGACAGTCGTTTCGAGTAAAATGACGCCGGCCACCGCAGTAGAAACACTTCTGTTTAAAGTTTTTCGCTACAGCTGCTGAAGTAGAAGACTCTTCTGGATCTATATTTTCATCCAGTTGATCTGGTAGTGTTGACGAAGTGTTGCAGTATGTAACTTCAATTTGGTTTGGAGATCTATATGCTTCACAGCTCTTCTGTGCAGACTCAAGTGAACGTGAAATGTCCTCAGCTTCTTTTAATGTCAAGGACGGTTTTTCTAGTAGTCTTTGTCGAATTTGGGGGTTCATAATTCCACTTATAAAGGCATCTCTAACGGCTTCATCTCGATAAGTATTTCCATCTATGGCACGAAAATTGCAATCCTTACTTAGAAGTTTAAGCTCTTGTAGATACTTGTCTATGTTTTCTTCTTTCTTCTGCTTGCGGTTTGCTAGCATGTGTCGAGCATAAATTTCATTCTTCTTAGGATTATAAATAGTTTGCAAAATTTCAACTGCTGACTTAAACGTGGAACATTCAGAAATATACTCGTAGACATTGTAAGAAAGAAAATTAATCAACACGTTAAGTTTCCTCTCTTCAGTAACTTCTGAGTCAGATATGAAATTTTCAAGTGTCCTGAACCAATGTTTGAATGCTCTACTTGCAGAAGGGTTTTCAGGATTAATATCAAACCTGTCTGGTTTTAAAAGTCTTTCCATTTTGATTTTGATTATTTAATTATCTTGATAAGTTTAAGTTTATTAAATTTGTTGTGAATAACTGAACCTTTTTAGAAAATAAGGCTTTAATAAACTTAAATTCTTACATAGCTGGAAAGGTAAACAAATCTCTAATACAAACAAGTAAATAAATACTTCAGCTGATTACTAGAGACAGGAATTCATAACACTGCAACATCACTGTAAAGAAAGTGACGAAAGACTGACTGAAACCAACTGACGGACAATGTAAGTACCAGGAGATGGAGCTTTACTCGGATTGAATTGAACACTAAATATTTATGTTATTTAGCTAAGTAAATTAAAGATATTTATTAATGTACGGTAATCAATATGAACGAATTTTAGATGACACATTTTAACTTAATACGCCTTTATAAATTCATAGATATAAAATAGCCTAACTGTATCAGCTGTGTTTATTAACTGCAGCTACAAAATGGTATTGACAATAACATGGGCACTTTAAAGGGCTTTAGGGCAGAAACTGGATTTTCTCCGCCTTGTGACCAAGTCCAATCGATTTCTCGTGACCAAATACCCCATAGTAAACAAAAAAATTAAAAATCCTTTGACAAAAATAGAAGTTTGTCCGTACCCTCGCTTGTTTTAGAATATAGGATATACGTAGTATGTTTCTAAACATTCTAGGAAGAGAGAATCAGAAAACGAATACCCCCTATACTTACACTGGATTCCTGTACTAACGAGTATGTATATCAACGAGGGAAACTGGAGGGATAAATACTTTGCTACCTGGCAGAACCCGCGTGGTGGTTCAAGTGTTTTACAACCCTGCTAAACTGACCCTTATAATCCCTTATAATGATCGTGGCGGTTCAAGTATCTCAGGACGGTCATAAAAATCGTGGCGGTTCAATAACAGCCAAAATAAGAATTGGAACGGTCCAAGAATCCTTGAGGAACCAAATATTGTGCCTGCCTTATCTGTACATATTTTGCTTCTCAGTATATCTAACACTGACATTCTGTTGCCTTTCTTCCAAATAAGACCTCATCCAGTTCAATTATTTACCATAAATACCATAATTATTAAGCTTATTTATTAAGGTAGAATGGTGAACATTATCAAAGGCTTTAGACATGTCTAAAAAAGCACCAATAATAGGCTACAGTTGTCTTCATCAAAATTCTCTAAAATATCTTCAATAAGAGATATCAATGCTGTTATGGTGGACTTATCTTTTCTATAAAACCATGTTGATCTTGGTCTTGCATATTATTTTTTTTTAATAACTTACAACTGATAAAGCATACTTTTTTCAAAAAGTTTAGAGTGATGGTTGTATACTTTATACTTTATACTTTATACTTTCTTATGAAATGGCGACCATACAATAGCTAACGGCCTATAATTCGAGGCAAAAGAATTATGTAGGACATTTTTAATTGAGTAGGATGAATACCAGTTATTAGGGACCGGATGAGTTGATTACATGTACCAACGGCTTTAACAGAACTGATTTTGCTTCTTTTTAAAATTTTGATTGGTATTTAATCATATCCTGATGACCACTTTGGTTTCAACAAATCAATCAATTTATTAAGTATCTGCTCATCTGTTATTCTGCAGTTGAACTTGGTTTTTGAATATTGTGAATTTGTAGTAGGATAGTAAGTAGATATTAAAATACTCTCTGTGCTGGGGGTATTTTAATATCTACTTACTTTTTGAGTTTTTCTATGTTGTTTTATTAAAGAATAGGTAGTCATTAATTTTTAATTAAAATTCTATTATTTGCAATATTTAAATAAAGAAATATATAAATTGTAGGTCACCTACCTAGTATCATATATAAAACATACTCCCTTAGTTTACTTACTTTAGTTGGTGTTGCTTAGTCTATGCTAGTATCTTTAAAAAAAATGATCATTTTAACTTACAAGAGATTTCCTCTTGCGCAATTCGCGAAGAAGATGAGAAAATTCAGCTCTGAGACGATGCAGTTTCTCAGTTTCTTGAGAAGTCTCGCTGTGAGATCGGCTAAGTCTCTCAACCTCCCCCTGTACCATGGTCAGTCTGCTAGCCAGCTAGACACAACATACACACAAGATTAATAAGATAACTTGATAGTAGTGGTTTGGATGGAGTATGATGAGTTGGTGCAAGAGGAATTATGCCTCTTTTATGCAAGTCCGGGAATTTTTTTACATTGGATCAAATGGGACCATTTATCTACGACGGAATCACCGCCGCATTTTGGATTTTCATCTGGGGCAGGTGGAGGACTTACGCTCCGTCGAGTTTTGGCATTCCGTATGGGCATTTTTAAAAATAAGATCAAATGGAACCCTTTTATGCCACAGTGTTTTCCGTTAGACGGAATCCAGCGCTGCCATCCTACCCCACACGCTCTGTCATCCACAGTATCAAAATCGCCTAATCATTGTAAATATATGATCATGTTAAAAGATCGAAGGGTACAAATAAAGAAGTAATGTAATTGAAAAAAAACTTATATGGCAAGCCTAATTAAGTTTAGATTTTAGCGAATTTCTTATATAAAGAATAAGCTATTACCGTAGGTCTCATGGTAAGACCTGGACCCGGAACCCATTTACTTTTTCGATTTAATGTCCCTAGCACTCAGCTGAGGCCAAATTCACCATCCGTTCAAATTAATATATATATATATATATACCTATATATATATATTTTTTGAGCGGAGTGAAGCAAAGCTTTTTGGGATCAACTTCAAAGCAAATTTTCTAACACATTAACTCAATAGCTGAACATATGATAGAGGAACTCATAAAGTTTTTTTCAACATGATTTGCATGTATCAGCTGATCCATTGTTGTCGCTCAAAGCTTTAAACTTCAAAACATAGCCTACAGTAAGGCAGATGTCTTTTCTTTTATACTATACTATAAACATTTAACTATAAAAACATCTTCCTTGTAGCAGAAAACCTAAGTACTTGTTAAACTAATGTTATTTAAATTGGGGAATAAATGTGTCTTTTCATAGAGATATTTAAGGGAAAATCCAAACAGGCAATTGGAAATTCACTTAGTCTGCAGGTTTTCTGCGGAAGGGGTATTGTTTAAATCCTCGGAATAACACAATAATTTTGCAGCACACTATATAAGTTTGCGAAAGCCCGATCCACCTTACAACAACGTTGATTCACCGGGTGTGTACAGCCCACCTCCTTCCATATTGTCTTCACACATAAATAGGTAAAACCAATAAACAAGGGTCCATAACAGCCATAACATCCCAATGGTAACTGATGATGGGCATGAATTAAGTTGTCATCAGCACCTGCACCCCCCCCCCCCCTGCTTAAAACAGGCCTAAGATTCCGCCTGACGATTTTAGCCGACCGAAAACTACGTGCATAAAAGAGGCTTAAGGTAGTCCGAAGACTAAAGAGACCCAGAGGATTTAAGTGAATCTCTCACCCAACTGTGCACTAAGCCCTTTCATGCCTATAACCCGACTTACCTGTTGCTACTTTTGTTTCGATGGCTTACATACTAGGCCTTAGTCTGCAAAACTGTTGTTAATTTTTTATTTTAGCTAACTTCCCCAGGTAGGTAGCTATTACCGTAGGTGGCACGGTAAGACCTAAACCAAAAACCGATTTACATTTTCATTTCTGTTTGCCCAGAGGCCAAAAACACTACTTGTACAAAATTTTTATCCCTGTGTTGTACATGTACGTCCATAAACACAAAAGCTTGTAATTTTGGTCCGATTTTGAAAAAAAAATTTGGCATGAATGTTTAGGGTGGGATAAATTTGAATGAGTTCTCAAACCACCAAGATTGAGTCATGGGAAAACGGGCAGACTACAGGCAGACTAAGCGAATTTCCATTTGCCTTATTGGATTTTCACATATCTCTTTGAAAAATGGGGTTTTGACATTTTTCAAAAATTCAAAATGTTCCTGATAAAAATATTATATAGTTCGGCCGCTTAGAAAACGACCTGCGCGCTAATGCTAAACCAATGCTGGAGGAGGTCGTTTTCTAAGCGGCAGACCTATAGTGATAAAGTTAGATCACTATAGAAACAAGTCAATCAACTTTTTACAATTTGAATTCTTGAAAATCTGCATATTAATTTTATAGTAGTTTTTATTGAAATCCCTCGTTAAGTTAAATAAGTTAAGTTAAGTTATAGCTATTTAGTAGTGATTCAAAGCATGGGTAAGAAGATGGAAAATTCTGCTGTAATGGTCATAGAAGCTATCAGACATTTACGATCACAAAGAGGATTTTCAGCTAAGGACTTTATTTGAGCGGAGCGAGCGAAGCTCTTATACGTCGACTCTTATGCATTTCGTAATACGCAAACTCCTCCTAAACGGCTGAATCAATCGTTTTCAAATTTTGCATGGTGATAAAGACCATATCTGTGAGTGCCAACATCTATATGGCGTTAAAAAAGTCTCTCAGGAATCCGCCCCACTGGGTCTCAAAGTTTCAATGTAATCCTTATGGAAGCAGTATTTGACACATAAACAAAGACATATGATCAGCTGTTGACTTTTGAATGCAGTAAAAAAAGAAATAGCTGATAGCATTATTCCACAGATATTAGAACAGAAACGGTATGGATCATAAATGTAATCAAATGACAAAACTAGCTTGAGGTCTGTGACGTAGGAAGTGGTGAAGGAAGTAGTAAAGGTGAGCAGTCTGGGGTGTGGAAACTGTTTATGACAATTAGATTTAGGTATCTACATTCCTAAAATTCTATGGGAAGGGAGGAAAACAGGGCCGCGACGTAGGATGTGGTGAAGGAAGTAGTCAAGGCGAGCTGTCCGGATTGTGGAAACTGTTTATGACGATTAGATTAAGGTATCTACAATCCTAAAATGCTATGGGAAGGGAGGAAAACAGGTCCGTGATGTAGAAAGTGGTGAAGGAAGTAGTCAAGGCAAGCTGTCCGGGAGTGGGATCTGTTTATGACAATTAGATTGAGGGATCTGCAATCCTAAAATGCTATGGAAAGGGAGGAAAACAGGTCCGTGATGTAGGAAGTGGTGAAGGAAGTAGTAAAGACGAGTTGTTCGGAGTGCGGGATCTGTTTATGACATGTAGATTAAGGTATTTGCAATCTAATAATGCTAAGTGAAGGGAGGTAAACAGGTCCGTGACACAGGAAGTGGTGAAGGAAGTATTAAAGGCGAGCAGTCCGGATTGTGGAAACTTTTTATGACGATTAGATTAAGGTATCTGAAATCTTAAAATGCTATAGGAAGGGAGGGAAACATGTCCATGACGTATGAAGTTGTGAAGGAAGTAGTAAATGCGAGCAGTCCGGAGTGTGGGAACTGTTAATGACGATTAGATTAAGGTATCTACATAGTCTACAATCCTAAAATGCTTTGGGAAGGGAGGGAATCAGGTCCGAGACGTAGAAAGTGGTGAAGGAAGTAGTCAAGGCGAGCTGTCCGGAGTGTGGGAACTGTTTATGACGATTATATTAAGGTATCTACAATCTTAAAATTCTATGGGAAGAGAGGGAAACAGGTCCGCGACGTAAGAAGAGATGAAGGAAGTAGTAAGGTGAGCAGTGTGGAGTGTGGGAACTGGAAACCGTTTGTAGCAGTTAGATTAATGTATCTGCAATCCTGAAATGCTATGAGAAGGGATGGAAGCATGCCCACGACATAGAAAATTGTGTAAGAAGTAGTAAAGGCTAGCAGTGCGGAGTGTGGGGAATGTTTGTGGCAATTAGATTAACGTATCAAAAATACTAAAATGCTATGGAAAGTGATGAAAACAAGTCCACGATGTAGGGAGCGGCTTAGGAAGTAGTAAAGTATGAATATATTGTGAGAACCGTCTGTGGCAGTTAGCTTAGTAAATCTTTAATCCTAAAATCCTATGAGAAGGGAAGGAAATAGGCCCCATGACGTAGGAAGTGGTGAAGGAAGTATTAAAGGCTGGCAGTGCAGAGTGAGGGAACCATTTGGGCAGTTAGATAAATGTATCTAATATACTTAAATGCTATGAGAAGGGAAGGAAACAGGTCTATGACGTAGGAAACGGTGAAGGAAGTAGTGAGGCTTGCAGTGCAGTCTGGGAACTGTCATTGGCAATTACATTAATGTATCTGCAATCCTAAAATGCTATGGGAAGAGAGGGAAACAGGTCCACGACGTAGGGGGTGGCGAAGGAAGTAGTAAAGGTGAGCAGTGTTGAGTGTGGGAATGGATTTATGTATCTACAATGTTAAAATGCTATGGGAAGAGACTGTAGGTTAAAATGATTACGAAGCACGAATCAATACATATTTTCAATACATGCAATCGTTTACAATAGAAATTCACAACTGAGTTGACAACAGCTGATTTTTACTCCATAGAAGCTAAAATTACTCCTGAAAGAGTAAAAATGCCACTTTAGACCCGCAACGCATTCATTAAAAACAACTGTTTTTACTGAAGTATGAAAAAAAAAAAAAAATATGAGCCCTATATGACTCCGCTCAATTTTGTGGATGCCTCTGCGAACGCCACCTAGTTAACTATATAGGTGAAAAACATGGGCTTACTGAACGAAAAGTGAAATGTATTGTTACAGCTGTGCAGAGAGGACTTGACTTTAGTAGTCTACGTGAAGACAAAGGAAAAGTTCGCAATCAAGGTGGCTGCGACCAAACCTGCTTCTAACACAAACCAAAAGGACAGTGATAATGAAGAATGTGGATGTGGAAAATCCCACAGGATGAGGTTTAGGAGTAGAAAGAGTAAAATGAGCTTGTGCAAGGGGAAAGGATCCAGTAGGAGGATTCACATTAGCCATAGTAGAAGGAGGAGGATGAGATCTGGAACTAGAAAACGCCTTTGCAAACCTCGGGCGGGGCTTTAGAAAAATAAAAGGAAGGGAGAGCAGAAGAATAAGAAGAAGTCACAGTACGAGAAGGAGGTTTAGCAAGATAAGAAAAAGTTTGTGCAAACGGAGAAGTTCTAGTAGGAGTAGGAGCAAGAGTAACAGACACTCGATGAAATCAAGAAGAAGAAGAGCAAAGTGTAGATGCTAAAAGTGCACACTTGAAGATTATCCTGTGATAAATCATAAATATATGGTTCATGAGTTTTATATCTACTTTTGTCTAGTTCTAACCTCTCTGACAGGTGATCGAGTGACATCAGGGAATCGATACAACATGGCTTCTGTCTTGGCCTCACCCGGCACTCGTCTGTTCTTCAGCAGAGAGTACATTAGTTCCACCTGCACATTAGAGTCATAAAGTACCTACTATAAAAACAGACATTACTAATTGGGTAAAATTAGCAAATATCTATATAAATAAAATTAGAGTTTTGTCTGTAGGCCTACATTGCTCAAAATCATAAACTTTTAGGTTATTTTTATGTTTTATACATTAAAGAAACCGAAACAAGTCTCATCTAAATTTATGTTTGTCTTCCTGTCTGTCACAGCCCAAGAGCCATTTTACGCGGCCTTCTCCTAAAAAATGAGAGTACCTATCAAGCTCCAAATCATTTTAATGTATTCACTGGATTAGCGAGATTGTCTTTAGCCATTAAAATATGACGTCACTACTTTGTAAATAAAATGACGGACGTTTAAAAACCCAATTTTGTGAGATTTTTTTTAAGTTTTCTCCCAATGTATCCCATATTTATCTATGAAATAACGAGCAGCTGTTCTAATCAAGATTATTTCTTCTAGCTGTCACTGATATGTTTACATTGAATGCTGTTTACAAATACCGCAACCAATTCCAATCACGTTTTGAAAGCAAATCCAAACCAAGTAAGATTAAAAAGTTTTTCGTTACATAACGGATTTAATTCATTGCAAGTGCAATAATTTGTAGGGTAACCGTAAATAAAGATAGAGATTCTTTGTGTATAAAATTGTTCTTGAGTTTTGATAACCGGGAAAAAGACCTTGAATCTGTGTTGTATATGGCTGGGAAACTTAAATTTTTTAAATGAGCGTTTTCAGTCGAGACTCGGCACACGACTGACGCGCGTCTACATGTCCATAGTAAAAATAAAAGTAGGCCTAAAATGTGTATTTATGTTTTATTCGTCATGTGTATAAGTGTACAGTTCATGTATGTGTTTCAAAAACTCCAAGACACACCTAATGGGGAAGCTCAAGACCTTATATTAGGACTGATGGCGATTTAATCTCCTGTAATAGGATACATTAGGATCGACCGGCGGACACAGGTAATTTTCCTTTTTTTTGATTGTCATACCGATCCGGAACATCGACAAACAACATAAAATGAAGTTTTGTATAATAGTTTGGCCAGCATATCTGAAAATATGCAAACCAACTGCTGTTCTTTATACGGGGTGACCCAAAAAAAAGGGACAATTTTAGAATGTTATTACTCAGCTGTTATAAAGGCTAGATAGTTCATTGTTGTGGCAAATGAATGTTTATTTGATGCCATTTGGTGTATCGTTACTATGGATCATCAATGGTTGCCGCAATATCGTGTCTTTGTCATCAAGACTTTTTTCAAGAGTAATTTGTCTTATCATTTCTACTCAACGTCAATTTTGTGTTCACTTCAACTTTGGCCGTAATGGTGCAACCCCAAACCAAATAAACTACTCAAAGATGGGTTAACAATGTCCTAAACACGGCTTTTGTACTCAAAATTAAACATATGAAAATTTAAATTTCAATGCAATGTTTTGCAAACGGTTGGCTTTGGACGCTCGACGCAGCACACTCGCGCGAACCATTTCAATGTTTTCCGGCGTTCGAACAGTCCGAGGTATCCCACAAGGCTTGACTTTGAGTGCAGAAGCCGTGTTCTGGAAATTACTTACTCAACTTTGAATAGTTTTTCGGTTTGGGGTTGCACTATTACGGCCAATGTTGTAGTGAAAACAAAATTGACGTTGAGTAGAAATGAAAGTCAAATTATTCTTCAAAAAAGTCTCTATGACAAAGGCACGATGTTGCGGTAACCATTGATGATCTATGGTAACTATACACTAAATGGCATCAAATAAATAACTTTCTTTTGCCGCATCAATGTACTCTCCAGCCTTTATAACAGCTGAGTAATAACATTTTAAAATTGTTCCTGTTTTTTTGGTCCACCCTTTATAAGGTTTCAACTGAACACTATAAGATCAAAATTCATGTTTTCGGCCCCTGGACTATATTGTTAAGACAATAATAGGTTTTTTACATACCTCTGTCAAATAGTCCAAAAATGGTATTGCTCAACAGCTTACATGTTTCGTTGCGAAGACAACATTATCAAAGTTTTTGACGAGTTGCAAGCTTTGATAATGTTGTCTTCGCAACGAAACATGTAAGCTGTTGAGCAATACCATTTTTGGACTATTTGACTGAGGTATGTAAAAAACCTATTATTGACTATAAGATCCTCGTGCGTAGAACGGGTACACAGCTAGTCATTCATAAATAACTTTTAGCTACATACAACAGTTTTTAATTTTGTATGAAGCTTTTTTCTTTTCTGAACTTATCTTAAATAAATAAATATTTCTCTATTGTCACAAAACCTTTTGAACGTGTAGCATAGCTAAAAAACAGGTTACATTTTCAAATTATGTAATAATAACATTAAAAAGTAAATATAAATATGAATAGCTTAAATGAAAGATAATTGTAATAATTATTATAAACCATCCAAAATGTCTTAGAATAGAAATAAAATTACAATATAAAAGCCGATTAAGTGAAAAGTTAAAGATTATACAGAATTGAGCTGCCCATTAAAAATTCATTAATGCTATCAAATCCATTTAAAATAAATTATTTCTTACAAAATTCTTTCTATAATTTTGTAACGTCATTGTATAGCCTACAAATTATTGTTGGCGAACCTTTGACCCGCCAAGGGGAAAAGGACCTTATCTTCCCAACCAAAATTTTACAGTACAACAAGTTTTAGACATTTAGGTCAAAAATCCACATTTTATGATTTTTATTGTTTCTTACTCTATGTATGTTTCCAAACAATATGTTGTCCATCATACACTTGCATTTAATGTGAAACATGGTTAAATTAATTTTTTTGTAAACCCTTACATGGTATAGAAAAGGGACCTTATTTTCCTCAATGCTATTTATATGGTTGGCAGTGACGTAGCCAGGGGGGTCCTGGGGTCTGGACCCCCCCTTCCGGTCATAAATATAATATTATTTGTTAAATTAAATGTAAAATTATATAATCATACTGTATTGACGTTGGGGTTGATTATTTTTGAATGCCAAGAGAGCTCAAAAAGACGGTTTAAGGGCCTATATTTAAAAAAAATTCCCGGACCCCCTTTTACCTGGGGGGGGTTATGGAATACCCCTCAGACCACCCGGTCGGTCGACCCCCCCTATTTTGAAATCCTGGCTACGTCACTTTGGTTGGAAATTAAGGTCCCTTTTCTTTGTGTGTCGTATTACATAGAATTATTAGTGAAACACTTCAGAAGCAGCTGTTTTGGCTTCCAGCTAACTTCTTATCTTATCTTATTAACTCTCTTTCCCTTATCTTATCTAGTTTGAGACTTTCAACTTGCTTTGTTGAAAAAGACAACTTTCAGCTTGAATATAGTTAATGTTGAAACAACAGTGTATACAACTTTAATAACAATACATTTTAAGCTTTGATTTTGCCCAGTAAGTGCTTGTTCCCTTTCATTCACAACAGCGAGGTCCAATCTATTTTCATAACTCCCTACAAAGTAGGTGTTTTGGAGTAATATTAATGAATGATCGGTCAAAACAACTTTTTAATCCCTGAAGCTATTCAAGTTTCAAAAGGTGCAAATGCTATAGTAAGCTTTCTTGATTATTACTTAGAACAGCACAGTTTAGGAGAAAAACATCTAACACTAGGCCTACAAGCAGATAATTTTGTGTCAGCCAAAGTCGACGACGCGACGTGAACGTCATAGCTCCTGGCCCAAGTGAAGTTTCACTCCCGAAAAAGCGTACCAAAAGGGCAAAAAAATAATATAAAGAGTACATTAAGCTAAACCTAATATGTTTCATATTAATTTAGATTGATTGTAATCAGTTTCCTATCTGATAAGACTACAGAATTAAGATTCACTTTGCTTTTTTAAATGTATGTAGTAATACACTTTGTCTTAAAAATTATTTTTCTTACCTACCCCTATCCATTAAACTTAGTTTGTACTAAAATTGCACACAATTTTCTTAAATATAATGGTAGATTTATATTCTCCTTTAAATTTCTGACAAAATTATACGTCAAACATGGCCAATAGTAGGTATAGTCACAAAGATATTTTTGTTCCAAAAATTGGAAACTTTGGAACGCGATATCGTAAAATTAGTAGTTTAAAAAATTTTGAGTTCAAACATTTATAACTCGGCCATTTTTAAGATATCTTGAAAATTCTTTCAGTAATGTGTTTGGATTTTAATGTAGGTTAACGATATACTAATAACTCAATTTCGAAAAAATGGAAGTTGAGTTCCCTATTTACTTATATATAAAGTAAAGAAAAATGGCCGACACTAAACTTTTTACTGTGAAAGTGCTCCTCATATTAGTGCAGTTATTAGTAGGTAAACCCAACAAAATACTTACTAAATACTCACCACCACAACCTCAACAGCAACTGTAAGTGTTACAAATATAATATAAGACAAATACAAGAGCTAAAGCAAGAATCCATTGATAAATTAAAAACACAGAGTTGACCTACTTTAAAAGGCAGCTACACATGAAGCTCGTATCCAATTTCAAGAATATACCACTGTGAGAGCAACTGAAGCACACACCTCTACATAAATTACGAATACTGTAGTTTAATTAATTAAGTCAGACAAACAGCTCATCTACAGTAATAATACTAAGAAAACAAACAGTTGACTGTGACGTCACAAATAATGCCAACACATGAGTGACTAAACACGTCACTGTTATCCAACACCATCAAGACAACCTCACCACAGGTGCTACACCATATGTGACAAAGCCAGCTGACCCAGACACCGTGTCAGCAGTGCCTACGCTACGACAACACCTTTCAGCTGACTGCAGTACAAATAACACTGTATTGTTTCTATCTGACTGACAAGGAGTTGATTACCCATAAATCAAACACATTTATACTCAAAATTTGACCTTTTTTATTTTATATGAAAATGACCACCATCTACTGACCTAAGCAGCCTGCCAAAGCTTTAATAAAAAACAGTATTTCTATCAATCAGACTGTTAGATAGTTAAATGT